GTCAAGTGCCACCAACGGTGCCTCCAAATGTTTCTGTACCCGACCCATTACCTCAGCCCAGTCTGGCGGAATTAGCAGCGTTGTTCGGCATACAATCATCCGCTGCACAGTGCCCAGTGGACACAACTGCAAGGCCGAGCCCAAACTGCATACCAGTAGAGGATTGCAGCAAGGTGGCTCAGCCGGCTAAAGATGGAGCAGGTGATACTGGGCGTAGTCCGCGGCCACGTCCAGTTGCAGCTCCCCACCACTCTGCTGCCTACAGTGTTTTCAGCAAGAACTCCTTCAGACAGTCCGTGCATGTAGTAATACTAATAGTGTTATCTTGGATGTGTGTGTACCTGTTGTGTACTGCATGGTTTCATTGACACGTTACACTGTCTCTTCTCTATAATTTTTATCCTAGAACAAGTCAAGTTTGCATGCATCCGGGCTATTAATACATCCAGTCCAGACGACACTTCACATACGTTGATTGTGTGGATGCATGCGAACTAGACTTGTTCTAGAATTTTGTTTCGCCTCCAACTTCCGTTGCAATCTTCTCGATATCTTTATTTATTTATATCACCTGCCTGGTGTAGATTATCCTGTCTCTTCTCTATGTCTGGACATTAGCATCCATTATTACATCCCTCTTGTAGTAATTTTCATAGTCTGGGTGCTGATAAGCCCTTCAATTTTTCTCCCCTCTTTCTTTCCTCTTTCACCGTCTTTCATCCCTCAAGCATTACCTACTCGTCAGTTTTGGAGAGTCGCTACTTGGACTCTTCGTTCTTTTCGTCTAGTTTATTGTGAAACTTGCTCAGTTGATGTTTGTGCTGTTTTAGAAAACTAACGTTAAAATGATTATTGACGAATGCACCTAGTGTCTGTTGTTCGGTGATGTAGCACGGTGTTGCTTTCATTACCCACAGACCACACGGGACACGGTGGACTGGGCACGGCTATTGGCCCTCGTCTACTGCCCCACTTGCCGCGAGAGCGAGAGAGAGAGAGAGAGAGAGAGACAGCGAGCGGGAGAGAGAGAGACAGCGAGAGACAGCGAGACAGAGAGACAGCGAGAAAGAGAGAGAGAGAGAGAGAGAGAGAGAGAGAGAGAGAGAGAGAGAGAGAGAGAGAGAGAGGGAGAAAGAGATAAAGAGATAGAGAGAGAGCGAGAGAGAGAGAGCGAGAGAGAGAGAGCGAGAGAGAGAGAGAGAGCGAGAGAGAGAGAGAGAAAGAGAGAGAGAGAGAGAGAGAGAGAGAGAGAGAGAGAGAGAGAGAGAGAGAGAGAGAGAGAGAGAGAGAGACAGAGAGAGAGGGAGAGAGGGAGAGAGAGGGAGGGAGGGAGAGAGAGAGAGAGAGAGAGAGAGAGAGAGAGAGAGAGAGAGAGAGAGAGAGAGAGAGGGGGAGAGGGAGAGGGAGAGAACTTCGGTTGTTGGATAGGAGTGTGTCAGGCTATGACTCACTACTAAGTCTAACCGGTAAGAGAACAGTATACGCTCTCAAAACTTGGAGTCGCGGACACCACCAGCTTCTGTGGACTACCCTTCAGGGAGACACAGCCGATCTTGGCTGAGACGTTGTAGCAACCAGCTTGTAACGGAATATGTTCAGCCTGTATACGTCCAGGGACAGGTGTAAGCGGCGTACACACGTTGGTTGTGTCCTCGTCAAGACCAGATATTAGTATCTCCAGTCCAATGTTGTCCAGTTGTTCTTGCTCTACGTTGCTTGCGACAATACTGTCCGGTAGCTCTATGGACATGCTGAAATGATCACTGATACGGGCTTGGCCGGGGCACTTCAATGTACCATCAGCAACATCCAGCACTGCTCCAGTCTCGCTGATGTCATTGAGTAGTGATGTGGTGTCCGTCGTGCCAAACACGATGCCACTGGTGACACAGGGCTCTTTCTCGTCCTCAGCAGTTTTCATGGCCTGCGTGATAGACGCATCCAACCAGGACCACACATGGAGAAGTTCAATGTCATCCTGGAATGAGTGCAGAATGCTGGCAACACTCTCTCCTTTCGACACACACTCCTGAAGCTGGTGTAGTTGCTTCTCGAGAGGTTCCAGCTTCCTCAACCTCAGCTCATCCAGCTCGGTGAGAAGAGAGTCCTCCCGTTTCTTCACAGCCTCCGCCAGTGGCTTGAAGAAATCAGAAACCTTCTCCGAAGCGAGCTCTGTTTGACTGTGTACCATTCGAATGTTCTTCTCCACGGTCTCTATGGCACTGCTGACAACACCATCACATTCGGATGTGCAACTGCTCAGCTTACCAGAAAGTGCATCACGAGCGCTTTGTGCAGCACTGGCAAGATCCATCACCTTGTGTTCATCATGTCTGTGTGCTCCAGTACGTACGCACTGTGGACACAGTAGCTGATTGCAATCCAAGCAAAACTGTTTCAGCACTTCAGTCGTGTGTAGAGCGCATCTCTGCTGGACCACTCTGCCACTGCTGATTGCTGACTCGATACTGGAGGCAGACAGCCTCTTGATCGTGTGGTCTTTACCTGATCTAGACATTGGATGGCCAGTACCGTGGTGCTCACAGAATTTGCCGCTGCAGTTCTCACAAACCGCTGTAGCTGGCTTCCCATCCCAGCACTCGTCACAGGTTTGAATGGCATGATCCCGGTCTGCAGCTGCTCCAGTCAACTCAGTATCGCTTGCTTGAACGACATTCGGTAGCGATCGCATTGAATCCAGGCTAACAGGCAATTGCGTAGCGGACAAGCATCGCGGACATTTTATGCAGCCATCAGATCCCAAGCTGTTCTGCAGGCACGGCACACACAGTGCGTGCAAACACGAAACAAACTTTAGAGTGGTCGTGGACGACCCACAACCACCGCACTGCACCATGGAGGACATTATCTTAGACGTCTTGCGTGAAAGACCTCCGGACAGTCTGAATCAAGGAGTCACGCTTTGCTTTCACGCTAAGAAGTGCAGTAAAATTTACTGCACTTCTCATAAATTTTATTTAATAAGGCCAAACTAAAGAAGGTGTGTGGTTCGACTAACATGGACATTTTTTTTACGGGCGGGCGGGCGGATTTTTTTTTTTTTAATATATTTTTTAGTACATGTAAATACACTGTATACGCGTATCGAGTAGACTCTACTACAAGCACAAGGCAGCAGTCGTAGATCTACCACTCACTGCACTGCACTGCAGTCTGCAGTACAACTACAAGTCAAGTCCAAAAGGAGCCGCCTGCGTCCGCAGACTCACGCCGCACAGCACGTAGACGTGGACGTGTTCAGTCCACGTACGTCAGTCACACGACAGCCCGCCGAAAAAAAGTTACGGTCGGGCTGAAATTGTACGGTCGGTCGGGTGAGTCGAACCACACACCTTCTTTAGTTTGGCCTAATCATAAATTTTATTTAATAAAATTTATAACGGACCAGTACCATGAGTACCGTCCGTAGTCTACTACTGTGCTAGTCAGTAGGTGTAGATCTACGTACATGTAGCTGCGACGTAGATCTACACCCGTACCACCACTGTTGTTCTTTTACTGACTGTAGATGTAGATCTACTGTCTGTACATGACTATCGTTGCTAAAACAAATCCGGCCAATGCTGCACATGGTAGTCGACTACAGTGTACGTGCCAAGATTATGACTGTTCAGCATTGACAGGATTTTGTTTTGGCGTGACGATAGTCGATAGTGGTCTGGTGTAGCGCGCATAATAACATGCGCATGCGCGCGAAGAACCACAAAGTAAAATCTGATCGCGTGAGTCAAGTTTACATGCGCCCTGCACGAGCAGTCGAGCACACGCGCGCGAGTAAGAATACTACTGCACTTTGTCATTCATGTACATGTAGGTGCTTTGTTTGTATAGTGTGTGCTACATTATAATAGAATTGATCACTCTCTTACTGTATTTGTATTGAATCCCATTGATTTTCACTAGACCTACAAGCAGTCAAATAGTCCTGCATATTTCACTCCGTAGGGCTATATTGACTGCTTATATTTGACTGCATGCTTATGGGTTGCGCAGTTGAACGGTGCCTAGTGCAGCATGGTCACTGTATGAGTAGGTGATGGTGCAACGGTTGTGCAATCATAAAACCGGGATTCACGAGGTTATTATTATCGTTCTGGAATTTGAAATACGGACTGTTTGTCGTGATAAATCTAATATTGACTTCGTACTTGGTCAGTGTATTACATGCAGTAGTAATTATTTAACCCTAGAACAACTCAACAGTGTTGTCTGTTGACACACTAATTCAAAGAGCGCCGATCAGTTTGAGCCGACAAAGTGCCAGGGAATATCGATGAGCAGACGATCAACTCCCCTCCCACCTTCTTCTCTTAGCTTCGATGAAACCGTGATCAGAGAGGGCTGATTCAGACGGAGGGTGCTTCAAACCTTCGAAGTCTTGCACCATGCAGTTCTCTCCTAGAAGTCGTGCAGAACGTGCCTACCCTACTCATCCGACTCCGCACCTGAGAATGCAGGGAGATGACGTGTCTGATGTAACGACTCACCGACACCTTGGGGTCATCTTGCTCTCTAACCTCGACTTCACCAACCACGTCGCCACCATCACGACAAAGTTTCGCCAGCGAGCAGTCCTCCTGATCCACATGACCAAGCGTATCCCCCCAGCCGTAGCCAGCCGCTTGTACACTGGATATGTTCGACCTGTGGTTGAATACGCCTCATCCCTCTGGTAATTTCAACTCTCCAGTGCTCAGGCTACTACCCTTGAACGGCTACAGGCAAGAGTGGCACGTGTGATCCTGCGGAAGTATGGCGTGTACCCTCCTCAAACGGAGCCGAAAGCCTCACTTTTCGCGCACCTCCAGTGGCCCAGCCTCACATGTCGAAGACACATTCAAGTTGAGCTCCACCACCTTATCAATAGCCAGATGACGACCCTGGAGGACCTAGGCTACTCAGTGTCAAACAGCGCCAGGCGCCCCCAACATCTACTCCCACCTGCAAGAGCCAGCACACAGCCAGCGATTGCAGTGGTGATGTCGGAGGTTGTGGTGGTGAGAAAGAGGGATCTATCCCAGAATATAATTATATAGCTTTAGTCGTAACTTGGGTCGCTTGTGCGAACATGCGTGTGATTACCAGCATTCATGCTGGCCAACCCTCCCGGTTTTCCCGGGAAAATCCTGGGAAATCAACACTACTCCCGGGGTCCCGGGGATTTCAATCAAACTCCCGGAAAAGTCACAGTTTTGTCGGATACAGGATTTTCCTGAAAAATCCATGGATTCGCCTAGAATGTTCCGTTTTTTTTAAAAATATGACTGTGCCCATTCGCACTTCTAACTGTGCACGGCACTTTCTAGACCTGACCACTGCGGCCTAGCCTGCAAGATCTGCACTGACAATGTGACAGGCGGGCGCCGACTGATCTAACTGCACAAGAAGGGTCGAACTGTGCTGTACGCAGATCTGCAGAGTCGAACGTTTTTTTGGCGGGAAAAGCTATTTTTTCACTAGTTGTTGTGCCATCCAGGGATTTTGAGAGAAATCCAGGGATTCTGCATGTCTTGTCTAGGGATTTAGATTTTGGTGGTCGGTCAGTATGAGCATTTAGCCGGGCACTTTTGTCTTCTGTTCAAGTACTCTTCAGCAACATAATTATTTCGGTCTGTAAATACACTACTAGGAGAATTGATCAGATTGTAAAGAGAAAGTTCCAATACGTTGCGAGTTATGACTAACAGTGCACCTAGGTAACGAGATCTTTCTCTTTACTTATCATATTGGCTCACCATCCAAGTTTTAATAATCAGATTGTGAGAATGAAAGGGAAAAAGTCTGAAGAGATCCAACTGTCACCACCAACTCTAGACTAGGCGGGGATATTGTACCTAACACGATGACTGGGAGAAAAAATATGCCTGGCAGTTATTGCAGCACTACATCACGGTCCTATTTAGCAACCACTGACATAGGTGTTGGCTGTACCTCTCAACTTTACTGTTTGCTACAGGTGTGCAGAGATATTCCTGGTCAATGTGCCAAGAGTCAAGTGCCACCGACGGATCCTACAAATGCTGCCATCCCCAACCCATTACCCCGGCCCAGCCTGACAGACGTAGTAAAGCTGGTTGCCATGGAATCCTCTGCAGCGCAGTGCAAAGTGGACACAACATCGGGGCCAGGCGCAAACTTCCCTCTGGAGCAGGAGTGTCGCGACGTGAATTTGCTAGCTCAAGGTGGGGCAGATGACACTGAGCTTAGTCCTTCAACTGTCTACACTGCTGCGTTCGGCATTCTCAGCGGGAAATCCTTTGCACTCTCTGCGCAGACTCTGATTGATGAATTCAATGGCCACAGTACTATCCAATCCGCAAGTACTTTTAGTGATTTGAATGACAGGGAGCTTCAGGTCACTCAGGCGGACGGTTCCGGCGTGTTCGATTTATTCCTTCCAACGGTGCAGGCTCCCGGACAGCCACGGACTCTGGAAAATTCACAAGTTGACGTCACGCTTCCTTACCTGGAAACATTGGGCGATTTACGGCTGAGGTATTTCTTCGACACGGGCGGCCATGTAGATACTGTGGAGAGATTTATTCGTCCTCCGAATCAGGCTACTGATAGGTTCTTTCCATTTCCCTTAAAACAGACGGTGAGTGTTAGAACGGACGGTGAGTGTACCATAGTTAGCTTATGATCACTAGAGAGGTTGCGTACAACGAAACTTCGTAAGATCTTTACCGCCCGGGTTCGATTAACGAAAGCTGCTACGAAAATTCGTCCAAACGCGACCGAAACAGAGCAGATCTACGAGAATATTTTTCTTAACGTGGAGTACTAAAACACTGATATTTTACAACTCCCTGTCTTGACTATACCCGCGAGCACAACACGTCGACCTACTACGAAAAAGTTCACACATTGTGCGCCACCACACGGTTTTCGAATATTCGTTAACTTTTCTTTCGTTGAAAAGTTTCGTTACGGAGCTACGAATTTTCGTTTTGCGCAATCTCTCTAGTATCTAAAGTATAGTGCATGCGTATTGGAACTTAGATGATATTAAATCCTCTCTCTCTCTCACCCTACCTGTTTATGCCTGCCTGCCTGCCTGTTTATCTGTCTGTCTCTGTCTGTCTGTCCGTCTGTCCATCCGTTGAATATTCACACAGTAATTGGGTATCGACCAGGAATGCGCAACGGCGGGGATGTCGCTTTCCACCCGGTTTTTCACACACGTCATACTTAGTACACGTACCAGTTGCACCAATGAATATGTACGGCGTGAGATGTGCAGAAGCAGCGGTGGTCATGGTGATAAGAAAGAGAGCTCCAGGTGGGAGGAATCCTGATAATTCGAACCTCAAAATGCCAGGAAAAAACTTCTAATCATCCGGACATTCTAATTATCCAAACATGAACCCACAACACAATATGTATGTCAAAATGCTCTCACGGTCACGCAGAGTTGCGCTATGGACCTTAGGCACAGATTTCACGGATACTGAACTGAGCGGCACAGCTTGCTCATGCAAACTGAACTGACCAGTACAGTGTACAGTGAACTTCGAATTACACTTTGCTAACTTCGAATTATCAGCACAAATCGCACACATTTTCTATGTAAGTGGAATCCATGGGACTTCTAATTAACCGAACATGTCCAGTTCGAGGTTCGAATTACCAGAAATTGTTATGTGGGAATCGTATTGATAGAAATCGGACCTGGAAAAACTTCTAATTAACTTAAGCGGCATGTTCGAATTAAGCCATATTCGAATTACAGGTCTACTCTCCATATAACGTCATCTCTGGGACCACGCAAAAATTATGTTATAGCGAGAGTTTCGTTATGTAGAAAACCGTGTGTAAAATACACAGATGTGCCTCGAAATGAAGGGAATTACAAGGCGGATTCAACCGTGCACGTTGTATCGAGAGTGCGCACGTCGGGGACAGCGCCGTAGGGTGCGTTATGCCGAGGTTTACGTTATGCAGAACTAAACTGGCCTAAACTGCCTAGCTACAGCTACCGCTTGATCGTACCAGACACGTGAACTTACGTTGTATCGAGAGTGCGCACGCCGGGGACCGCGCCGTATCGTGTGTTATGTAGGATTTTGTCGTGTAGAACAAAATTTGGATGGGAGTGATGCCGTTTCGGCGCGGGATTTGATTTTTTGCGTAACTTACTAGCGCCGTTTATGTACACGGGAGAGTTGTTATATCGAGAGCAGACCTGTATCATGATTCCACTTGTATCTGCTAACCTTATGCCTGGTTCACACTAGGCCGATTTTCCGGCCGACATGGACTCGTACGAAAAATCCTCAAGATCGGGGCGAAAAATGCGTAGTGTGAACTGTGTTGTCGTACAGGGTTCCGACAAATCTGCGGCGATTTTCTTGTCGCACTAGTTTTCGGCCAAGTATCGACTGGTCGATATTTAGCCGAAAAGCCGGCCGATTTTTACTGCTTGCACGTGATGGAGCGGTCATCGGAACAATCACGGTAGGCTTTTCACCATGACAGCAAAGAGCGTCGATGTCGAGCTCATGACCTCTTGTACTTTTGTACTCTTGAGTCTTGATGAGATGTAAAGTCCTACCACAATTTCATAACCCCCATGAACTTTGCTTTTATGGATAATCGATGCGACTCTATTGCGAGTGAGTCGTTCCCCGTGTGTGAACTCCGACTCAGTCGACACAGTCGGCAGACTCCATGTCGGAGTCGGTGTCGGAGCACCGGCCGGAAAATCGGCCTAGTGTGAACCAGGCTTAAGAGGTATGACCTTGCTGCTGGGATAGATTGCATGGGCAGGCATGTGTTTACGACCTTTTAGCCAGGCATTGTCACGGTCTTTTTAGTCACTCTTCACCACCGCAATATCTGTCTGTAAATATAATAGGAAGTATTCGTCAGGTTTGGGGAATGAAAGGGAAACGTTTGAAGTAGTACGGGGGTCGGGGGCCAGGGCTGAAAAAAGTGCTTCAAATCAAGTTTCGTTCCGACTTTTAGCGCACAACAATTTGACACCACAGATTCATAGCGGAGGCAATACAGACATGAAATCTAAAAAAAACCGCTTCGAAAAGTGAATGGAAGGTCCCGAACGAGGTGATTTTGTCTTCCACTCGGCCATTACGTGCGGTATGCCCTGGAAGTCGTAAAATAATGACTTGTCAAGACAGAGGAGACTTCCCTACACAACCCCAGTGCAGGCCCGCTGCGCAAAACTAAATTCAGTCCTGGTATTGTTGACACGCAGGTGATGGTTTCGGCACCACGAAGGGCCCGGGCAACAATTTCGAAAGTGGAGTAGGATGTGGTATGTCCTGAATGACTGGGTCAACTCTCTCTCCTCCGATCGACTTCCGAGTCAGTCCTGGTATTGTTGACACGCACGTAGCGGTTTCGGCACCACGAAGGGGCTGCACCTCTAGCACTAACAATGTGAGTTTCACGACGGTAATCTGGCACCATCATGGAGGTGCCGGGATGTCGGAGGGCAAACATACGCCGAGGGCAACTCGGCAAAGCGTCTCTGCTCCCGTTGTCGAGCCAGGACGGAAAGATTGCATTTTCTGTCGAAAGTTGTTGCTCGGAAAGAAGCACAAGTACCAAAAGACATCTCAGTGCCAATCTCTCAACGCAGCCCAGAAAGTGTTCGATGCAGCCGAGGTAAGAGAGGACAACGCAATTCGAGAGGTACATTACCATCGTGACGCGAGTTTTGGAAGACAAAATGACATCGATTTATCGGACAGTACAGGTGGAGAGGCGCAAGTGTTGGCTAGCTTCCTTGAAGTAGTCCACAAGAAAGACTTGCGGCACAGGAAAAGAAGTTCCTGGATCCCATTCCAAAATTGAAGCTCGATATATTCTCAAACAGAAAGTCACGAACGGCAACCAGCCAGAGCAAAGCAGTATCTGTATTGCATGCCGACTGCGCTCTTTCCAGCAAGATGGCTGTTATCGCCCAGAGTCGCCATATGGATGTTCGTCAAATTCTCTCGTACCCATTGGGATCAGCACCGCTATCTCTCTGTACCTCAGATGGCACAGTAGTGAAGACTAACAAGTCTGCACTGCTCCAGTTATGAAGGTTTCTGATGGTGTAAGTCCACCCGGAAATACTCCATCTGAGTCAAGTGCTCTCATTGTTGATGCTATGGCTATGTTACAAGCCATGAGCTAGAAATCACTACCTGCAACCTTCTCTGACCTTGCATATAACATATTATCACTCCCTTAGTATTGACTCCCATTCATTTTCGCTATACCTAAGCAGTCAAATATTCCTGCATATTTCACTCCTTAGGGGCTATATTGACTGCTTATATTCGACTGCTTAGAGGTTGCGCAGTTGAACGGTGCCTAGTGCAGCATTGTCACTGCATGAGTAGGTGGTGGTGCAACGGTTGTGCAATCGTAAAACCGGGATTCATGAGGTTATCGTTCTGGAATTTGAAATACGGACTGTTTGTCGTGATAAATCTAATATTGACTTCGTACTTGGGCTCGCCATCACTTTCTTTGCCTACTAAGTTTCGTTTTGTTAGGTCTATTGTGCTCGCGACTGTTTTATACGGATGCCAATCTTGGACATTATCTGCCTCATCAATGAGAAGAATTTCATCCTTCTAGATGAAATGCTTCCGCCGACTCTTAGGAGTAACATACCACGACCGGCGTACCAACCAATCTATCCTGGAAGAAATCAATGACATCATCGGAGCAAGGATGCGGCTAGCCAACGAAGTCAAGAAATTTAAGTTGATGTGGTTTGGCCATGTTACGAGACATGACGTTTTCTCCAAGCCCTTCCTGCAAGGATCAACTCCTGGATCAACTCCTGGATCTCGACCGAGAGGAAGGCCCGCGACATCATGGATTTCTAACATTAAATGTTGGACGGGTCTTCCCTTGCATGCACTCTCTCATGCAGCACACGATAGAGTTGGATTCAGAGACATCATTCACAATTCTCTCGCTAATTAATGCCTCTACGATCACCTTGTGATTATGAGTTATACATACAAACATACATTTTTCGAGCATCTTGCGGGGTTTGCAGCTCTTTATAAAAATGCTTTGCTTCACGGAAACTTATTTCATTGCGAAGAGCTGCGCTTCGGTCCTCTGAGCTGTGCTGATGAGCTCTAACAGAGCAAAACAGTTGCTGTCCACAGATTTGAGTACATACATACATACATACTTGGTCAGTATAGGAAATAAAAACCTCGTAAAAGACCTCGGCTTCGCCTCGGTCTTTTACTCGGCTTTTATTTCCTATATTGACCTCGTACTCAGTCAATATTAGATACTTCATTCACTGCTCACCAAGGCTGGAAACTAGTGGACGGCAAGCTCCAGGTTGCAAAGCACAGTCTTTGCATTGCACTGATGTTTGTGGATGCAGCGCTGCAGATAACTGCCAGAACAGGGCCAGTGATCTGGGACCATAAACTGCCACTATAGCATGAGATTAAGTTTCAATTACGTACATCTACATTACATACACATCCATGGACAATGTACACGTAAGAGTAGTATGTTTTTTTATATTCCTTTCTGGCATTCCTGCAGTCTGTATATATCCCAATGGTCTTCATTCCAGATCGTGTTCACTTGATTTGAGTCCTTCAATCGTTTTACAACATTACTGTAGGCTAAACATAAGAATAAAACAGTAGTTGCTATGGTGTTGCTATGCAGTTGCCATGGTTACCATGCACTAAACTTCAACGGCTAATTTCAGCACCTTCCATCACGTTTCGAGGGTCAAAAAATATATTGTTGAGCTTCTTGTGGTCCCCTCTACACGTTGAAACTCTCAAAACGTTGTGCGCTCTCAACTGCAACGAAAGTAAACATTTTGGGCACCTGGCCCCCGTACTAAAGGGCATCAACTGTCATTGCCTAGTCTAGAACCAGCTACCAGGGATAGTTGCTAAGAAGATTATACTGATCAAATAAGTGTTATAGGTAAGCAGCAGCATTCGACGCTTTACAGATTTTTCATTCACTGTAGAGCGCGGTTATGGTGTGGTGGTTGATGAGAAAAACAGGTACTACTGATATTCATGATAGTAATGACACGGTGTGCATACCGTAAAGTACTGCTGATCCGCCCCCACGCTGTGTCACTTCCCAGCTGGGTTTTCGGCAGGGGCGGGAATTAGATCAAGGCTGTCAAGTGCAGTACGATGTACAACGACGCGGAGGGTCAGTGTACTGTCAGGCGGAGGAGAACGGGGGGGGGGGGGGGGGGGGGGAGAGCAGCCTTGTAGCGCAGGCCGTACTTGTTAAATTTTATGTACTACAGTGTACAATATAGTGTATGCACAGTTGAGTCACCGGGTGTATATCAGCGTGCTGTGTTGGGTGAAATAGTAGCCTATTTCTTCTTCAGCATACTGTTCTTCGGCGTTCGACAGTGCTGTAGGAGAAGTGGCAACGTGAGGATGGTAATACCTGGTACATGCAGTCATCGTTGTACTACATCACGGTCCTATTGTACAAACACTGACATAGGTATTGCTGTGCCTCTCAACTGTACTGTTTGCTACAGGTGTGCAGAGATATTCCTGGTCAATGTGCCAAGCGTCAAGTGCCACCAACGGTGCCTCCAAACGTTTCTGTACCCGACCCATTACCTCAGCCCAGCCTGGCGGAATTAGCAGCGTTGTTCGGCATACAATCATCCGCTGCACAGTGCCCAGTGGACACAACTGCAAGGCCGAGCCCAAACTGCATACCAGTAGAGGATTGCAGCAAGGTGGCTCAACCGGCTAAAGATGGAGCAGGTGATACTGGGCGTAGTCCGCGGCCACGTCCAGTTGCAGCTCCCCACCACTCTGCCGCCTACAGTGTTTTTAGCAAGAACTCCTTCAGACAGTCCGTGCATGTAGTAATACTAATAGTGTTATCTTGGATGTGTGTGTACCTGTTGTGTACTGCATGGTTTCATTGACACATTACACTGTCTCTTCTCTATAATTTTTATTCTAGAACAAGTCAAGTTTGCATGCATCCGCGCTATTAATACATCCAGTCCAGACGACACTTCACATACGTTGATTGTGTGGATGCATGCGAACTAGACTTGTTCTAGAATTTTGTTTCGCCTCCAACTTCCGTTGCAATCTTCTCGATATCTCTATTTATTTATATCACCTGCCTGGTGTAGATTGTCCTGTCTCATCTCTATGTCCGGACATTAGCATCCATTATTACATCCCTCTTGTAGTAATTTTCATAGTCTGGGTGCTGATAAGCCCTTCCAATTTTCTCCCCTCTTTCTTTCCTCTTTCACCGTCTTTCATCCCTCAAGCATTACCTACTCGTCAGTTTTGGAGAGTCGCTACTTGGACTCTTCGTTCTTTTCGTCTAGTTTATTGCGAAACTTGCTCGGTTGATGTTTGTGCTGTTTTAGAAAACTAACGTTAAAATGATTATTGACGAATGCACCTAGTGTCTGTTGTTCGGTGATGTAGCACGGTGTTGCTTTCATTACCCACAGACCACACGGGACACGGTGGACTGGGCACGGCTATTGGCCCTCGTCTACTGCCCCACTTGCCGCGAGAGCAAGAGAGAGAGAGAGAGACAGCGAGCGGGAGAGAGAGAGACAGCGAGAGACAGCGAGACAGAGAGACAGCGAGAAAGAGAGAGAGAGAGAGAGAGAGACAGAGAGAGAGAGAGAGAGAGAGAGAGAGAGAGAGAGAGAGAAAGAGAGAGAGGGAGAGAGAGAACTTCGGTTGTTGGATAGGAGTGTGCCAGGCTATGACTCACTACTAAGTCTAACCGGTAAGAGAACAGTATACGTTCTCATGGGAAGCGATTTCAAATCAGTCTAATTTGTCACCCTTACTGGACACACACTTGGCATGAACAGTGAGAAGCTCCATGCAGGTCGGATAACGTATACTTGCAACATCAGATGTGCATTTGCCACACCACATGCTCAAAATCACCCTGCCTTCCACAACAACAACAAATTCACGGTTCGAGTGAGACTCAGCTGGAGTCTTCCCCAAGAATGACAGAAATCTACGCAGTTAGGACACAGATGACAATTGGTAGGAAAATAACCACCCAGAACAATCTATGCAGTAATACACTGACGAAAACTGGTAGGGAAATTACCACCCTGAATAGATATACTGTAATTATGCAAAAACCGGGGTGGAGGGGTACTAGCCTATACATATACCTGTTACTTTGAGTAGTATTGTAGTGCACTCATTGATGTATTACATAACAGATCAAATCACTGGGAAACACACGTATAGGAAGTCAAGACACTGCTTGATCATAATTATAGCCAGGGCAATCTGACGTGTTCACCACCCGTTCTCCTACACCAGAGTGATGTTGTCACCCGCGTTGTAGAGTGTCACAATCCAGTACAGGTTACCTGTGACGTTTGGGATGGTTTCTGTGGCGCCCGTTCTCTCATGTCTACCAGTGAGAGTGTGACGATCATGATCAACTGTGAGGTGAATGACGTCACCGGTTTGCCAGGGCTGACCAAGGGCTGTGCCGGTGTGGTAGTTACTAGCATCATAGCCAAGCCAACCAAAACACTGTGCCTTGTCTTGTTGGTAGTTGCCTGTCAGGTTTGGATTACTGGATGAACAGGTAGAGAGAAAGATTTGACCACATAGGGTATTGTCAATCCTCACCGTCAGTGTGCTGCTACCAGTACCAGTGACCATGGGTGTTGTACATGCTGATGTAAAACCAATACTACTACTAGTGCGACTCAGTGAGCGACCATCATTGGTGATACTCAAAGCACTGCCACAGCGATTTCCATCAAACCGACTTGAAGTCACGGACACCACCAGCTTCTGCGGACTACCCTTCAGGGGGACACAGCCGATCTTGGCTGAGACGTTGTAGCAACCAGCTTGTAACGGAATATGTTCAGCCTGTATACGTCCAGAGACAGGTGTAAGCGGCGTACACACGTTGGTTGTGTCCTCGTCAAGACTGGATATTAATATCTCCAGTCCAATATTGTCCAGTTGTTCTTGCTCCACGTTGCTTGCGACAATACTGTCCGGTAGCTCTATGGAGATGGTGAAATGATCACTGACACGGGCTTGGCCAGGGCACTTCAATGTACCATCAGCAACATCCAGCACTGCTCCCGTTTTGCTGATGTCATTGAGTAGTGATGTGGTGTCCGTCGTGCCAAACACGATGCCACTGGTGACACAGGGCTCTTTCTCGTCCTCGGCAGTTTTCATGGCCTGCATGATAGACGCATCCACCCAGGACCACACATGGAGAAGCTCAATGTCATCCTCGAACGAGTGCAGAATGTTGGCAGCACTCTCTCCTTTCGACACACACTCCTGAAGTTGATGTAGTTGCTTCTCGAGAGGTCCCAGCTTCCTCAACCTCAGCTCATCCAGCTCGGTTAGAAGAGAGTCCTCCCGTTTCTTCACAGCCTCCGCTAGGGGCTTGAAGAAATCAGAAACCTTCTCCGAAGCGAGCTCTGTTTGACTGTGTACCATTCGAATGTTCTTCTCCACGGTCTCTATGGCACTGCTGACAACACCATCACATTCTGCTGTGCAACTGCTCAGCTTACTGGAAAGTGCATCACGAGTGTTTTGTGCAGCACTGGCAATATCCATCACCTTGTGTTCATCATGTCTGTGTGCTCCAGTATGTACGCACTGTGGACACAATAGCTGATTGCAATCACAGCAAAACTGTTTCAGCACTTCAGTCGTGTGTAGAGCGCATCTATGCTGAACCACTCTGCCACTGCTGATTGCTGAGTCGATGCTGGAGGCAGACAGCCTCTTGATCGTGTGGCCTTTACCTGATCTAGACATTAGATGGCCATTACCGTGGCACTCACAGAATTTGACCTGGCAGTTCTCACAAACCGCTGTAGCTGGCTTCCCATCCCAGCACTCGTCACAGGTTTGAATGACATGATCCCGGTCTGCAGCCGCTCCTGTCAACTCAGTATCGCTTGCTTGAACGACATTCGGTAGCGATCGCATTGGATCCAGGCCAACAGGCAATTGCGTAGCTGACAAGCATCGCGGACATTTTATGCAGCCATCAAATCCCAAGCTGTTCTGCAGACACGGCACACACAGTGCGTGCAAACACGACACAAATTTTAGAGTGGTCGTGGACGATCCACAACCACCGCACTGCACCACGGAGGACATTATCTCGCACGCCTGGCGTGAAAGACCTCAATTTTCGGACAGTCTGAATCAAGGAATCACGCTTTGCTTTCACGAATTCCTGGCTGAGAACTAGAAGTGCAGTAAATTTATAAAGGACCAGTATCTACGTAGCTGCAACGTACACCCGTACATCTACCACCACTGTTGTTCTTTTACTGACTGACGATGTAGATCTACTGTACATGACTATCGTTGCTAAAACAAATCTGGCCAATGCTGCACATGGTAGTCGTAGTCGACTACAGCCTGCCATGATTATGACTGTGCAGCATTGGCAGGATTTCTTTTGGCGAAGCACTAAAGGGACCGTCACTTAATTTTTGCCGACTACCCGCCAAAAAAAAAAATTTCGTTTCACGTGTCAGACACGTACGCGAGCGCGTAGATCTAGATCTACGTATACGACTCGCGCGCCCGCGCTACCTTTCACGTCAGGCAATCTGTTCACGTGATCACGCCACATGGCTGGATAGCGCGTCCATGCAAACATGATTGAAGACTTGCAAAATCAATTTTTTTCCAAGTCCAAGCGCTATGCCTAGGCAGATTATAATAATGCCCAGGCAGCTGACTTTATTTTCGGAGAAACACTACTCATTGTAGTAAAAAGTAACAATGAATAGCGATATCATCTAGGAAGGATCGCTACCCTAACGCGAAGGAAAGGCCTTGCGCGGCTGCTCTACGAAGTGTTGAAGAAAGACTCATCAAAGTTAGTTGGTGGACGAACAACTCGCTGGCGCCGGAAAACTTGGCCCCCAACGATGGTGTTTGGTGAATCATCAAGCATAATGTCTTGTAGCAGTGTTCACCGAAGAAGGAGAACGCTCTAGCCGCTGCTGTTGTCCGTTTCATCCACGTTGGGCGTTAGCTGCACCGCGCCTATTGTGTTTTAGTATTCCATGGACACACATTAGCATTCAGAGCGATTGTGGAGCCACAATTTACTTCACACAGCGTTGTATTGTCCACGAGCGCAAACTTCATTATCAGCAGTAACTGTTACTCTTCATCCTACATGTAGACTTGGAGTATACACGGCCTTGTCACGACAGCGACAGCTCTACAGAGTGTTCAAGTGAGAAACATTAATTTCTATTGTTGGTGGACGAATAAACGGCTGGTTCCGAAAAAACGCGGCCTGCACCGATGGTGTTTGGTGGATCATCAAACAGGGTGACCAGCAGTGTTCACCGAGGAAGGAGAATGCACTCGCCACCACTCCGATTCATCCAAGTGGGCGTTAGCTGCGCCGCGCCTATTGTGTTTTAGTATTCCATGGACGCACACTAGCGTTCTCAGCGATTGTGGAGCCACAACATATCTTCATGCGGCGTTGCACTGTCCAAGAGCAGAAACGTCAGCAGTGACCCATCATCATACATGTAGATTAGGAGTATACACACCATGCGCCAATGGGCCTTGGCACAACAGCGGCAGCTCTACGGAGTGTTCAAGTGAGAAACATTTGTTTCGATTTTTGGTGGACGAACAAATCGTCGGTGCCGAAAAACGTGGCCTGCGCCGATGGTGTTTGAACCATCGAGGGCTCCGGAAGCAGCAGCTGAGCCAGATCAGCCAGTCTTGCCAACTCTCAGTTGCCGGACTCCGTGCTGCAGCTAGCAGCACTGGCACCAGCCGGAAATATTTTTCCGCCGATACCCATTACTTCCAGTTCTGTCAAGGGCATAACTGGAATCCATTGCCAGGTGATGACTTCTTTCTTTATGTGTTATTTTGCTGCCGAGTTGTTCAGAACTTTTCAGCCCCGATCTGTCCATGTCTACATGTCGGCCATCCGCAAATTCATGTGGAAGTTGGCTTTACCTACCCGTTAGGCCCAATGACTCTCCTCGCAAGGTTCCTGTCGGGCATCAACAGGTCATCATCGACACAGAGTCATCGCCTGCTGATAACCACTCAACTTCTCAGGGAGATTAGCCGGCATGTTGCCTTTCCACGGATGTGGCACCCTCATGACAAGGCCATGCTAAGGGCAAACTGACTGCTTTATTTTAGCTTTACATTACCGCAGTCAGTCCAGCACAATACGCCAATCGTATTTCACTATTACTCGCGTGTCATAATTGGGGATATGGGCTGCTCCGCCCTATATCCCTGATATGCCAACTAGACGAAAAGTGTGTTCTGAGCCTGTATCGCGTATAATAGGCTCATCGTAAAACAAATAATAAAAGTCTTAAAAATCAGGGTTCACGTGACACTCGGGTTCCAGCCAAGT